ATTTATTACTAAAGAATATTTTTTTATCATATATGAGAACTAATCTCCTTCGAAAGTTTGACAAATATCAAATAAATAAATATTTCTTTCAAATTTATATTTTATACATAAGATAATTTAAATATATATATTTATTTTATTAAAATATAATTTTTACTTTTTAAAATATATATTTTTTTAATATAAAAAATATGTATGTATAAAATGATAGTGGGGGCAAGTACCCCCACTCTCATGCAAGTGAATCCTATCTATAAGAAAAAGAAAAGTAAGCTCACAAAAGAAACAACTCATAACAATACCACAAGGCAACAACAATATATATAAATCATTAAATAAGCATATTATGTAATAACAAATTATGTAAATAATAATACACCGATAGGATGTAACTATTATTAATATAATATAAAATATAATTAAAAAACTAATAATTTAATTTCAAAAAATCAGTATAATTATGTTCACGATAAGTAAGTGTATAATTATGCAAATTATCAACAATTATATTTGAGAACAATGTTATTGCTTATATGTTAGTAAATAAAAAATTTATAAAATAATTTCATATCTATCTCAAAATAGATCTTTAAAATTAATAAGACATGAAATTTTCCCACTATAAATTATAAATTAGAATAAAATTGTGAACTATAATATTACAATGAGCAACTAATAAATTGATCGTAGAATTCAACAATTTTATAATATTATTATGAGAAACAATTATGCTATCATATATAACTGCATATTTATAAACTCAAAAGGATAAAATTCAACAATTTTATAATATTATTGTGAGAAACAATTATGCTATCATATATAACTGCATATTTATAAACTCAAAAGGATAAAAATCAGTTATTTATAAATTTATCCGTATGTGCAATTATATATTAAGTTAATAGACCGAAAGTAACAATAAAGGAGTAAAACTGTACTCCAATAAAGCTTCAAGCTCATCAAAAAACTATTGTTATTTTAACTAGTTTCTGATTTAATTGCACTAAAAAATGTAGTTATATTAGATTTTGAATACACATACATCACAAGTCTCTTATCATTTGATTCCAGCAGGTCCCACCTCATTTTTTATATACCTAAACTCTGATTTTGCACCTATAGTTGATGTGAGGTGAATTACACCCACAAGATGGGTACCAAACATTATTCTGGGGTTATTATAACCCTAGATCTATATGATTACATGGTTATGGTGGTCGATGATAGAACGCTAAATGAATGGTTGTTTTGATGTTTAAAGTTGTCTTGTATCTTATTAGGTGAAAAACAACAGCTGAACCTCTTCATTTGGCAGGCTGGGCATCCTAGAAAGATTGATTTATCATTTATGGACAGCAGCATGGAGAGAGAATTTAACATTCTAACAGCAAACAATCTAACAGCAAGGAACACTGTTATCATAAGTTACTTGCTTGTTAATTATAGTTTAGTTACTAGAGTCCTAGACCTATAATACTTGGAATGTAGTGGGTAATGATAGCTGATGTTAAACCATTTTTTTGTACTGCAATGGAGTAGGGGAGGAAGTAAAAGTAAAATCTTGATAGCAGTTCCAGGGTTCTTGGTATGGTCATTGGCTTGTAATGAAAAAGAAATTCACTAAAAGTTCAGGGGTGAGAGCTCCTTGCTTAATTAATTTCCTGGATTCTTTATTTGGTGATAGATATAGTGCGGCACCTCTGTTACATGAATAATTTCTATCACAGGTTGCTGTTCATTATATTCTAGAATGTTCCCAAGTCACTAATATTCTGTTAGAATCTATTATCGGTTAGTTTGTTGACTTCCTGTAACTATCAGTTAGTTTGAAGCTTCTTGGACAAGCTTAACTTGTAAAAATAAAAAAATAGAGAGCTATGAATAGATAACAAGAATACTCAATTTTATTTTCAGAGATTTTCTCAGTTTCTCTCTCTTTAGAACACTTTAATATAGAATGTCTTCCTTAGACTGTCACATATCCTCCATTTTTTACATTGCTTATATTTTGTGTGTTTCTTCAACAAATCCAGAAGTACAATTTTCTTTATCCAACTCCCATAAGCTGGCGTAAGTTTACATCCTCCTTAAAAAAAATCCCCTCTCCATATTTTGGCTCTCTGGCCCATGACTCGCTTAAGTTTTGCAATCTGAACAATTACTCATTTCATTTTTATTGTCACAACAATTACTAATATCAATTTTGCAGTATTGACAATTACCAATATCAATTTTTGCAGTCAGAACAATTACTAATATCAATTTTTAGGGATGGGGCAGAAAAGCAAATTTATAGGACAAATGCTAACAACTGATTTTCTAACACAATCTTTATTACTGGTTCAATTTTATTGAGGTTAGTTAAGTAGCGAGTGTAAACATCATTTCGTAAGTCGCAACAAATTTCAATCAAAAGTAGTGTGTTGGAGTGTATGTTACTAACATGACTCAAATATAAAACCAACCTGATTAAGGCGTGCAACCCGTTCTGAAAATACTCTCACGAGTAAAGGAATTGTAACATCAATAGAAGCTCTGGCAATAAGAGCATAGCAGCTTAACCTTTCATCCATGGCTGCAAAGGCAATAAATACCATTAAAAGAAGGAAATTCATCAAGCCCTAATATGAGGTCTATTTGAATTTTTGGTAATGAAACATTATAGTACTAAGTTTGTACAAACAAAAACTGGATGTGTTTTAAAGGACATCATTGATGTTTAATAAAATAAATGGGTGAACCAATGTTGTTAAATAACAGTAATAGTGCTGCCATAACATGATGTTTTTTCCAACCCCTCTGCCATAGGCAATTTGTGAAGGGAGGCCCACTATGGAGGTACTATATATAGGCTGTGATTGCATATTTATGTGACAAAAATTTGGCCTTCTGCCATCCACCATTGATAACCTTGGAGTGAACTGTGAAAATCTATTATAGTCCCTTCCAATTCAATAATTCAAAATAAAATTATGAAATATTTCATTCCAATTAATACTAATGTAATACAAAAATAATACAATAATTTTGAGCTATATTTTGTTTCAAATTGCAATATAGTATTGTTCAAAGTGCAATACAATAGAAATGGAATTGAACTAATCAAGGAAGGGGCTACAATTAAAGGTATGTTAGAATTTACAGGTGGGCCCTTGTCCAAGAGTGTTAGAGTGAGTTACTAGCCTTTCATTTTGAGTGGTCACTGTCCCAAAAAATGTCTCAGCACTTTGAATTCATGACCCCTTTGCTTATATATACTCTTTAAATTATTTCTAACCCACCAATGCAGGGCTTGTTCTCCAAAACTCCCCCTTGACTCCAACTAGCTTGGTTCAATAGTAACATGCCTTCAATTTCCAGCTTGAATGCCCCTTTTTTCCTGACTTCTGGAAGCCACAGGTCTGTCTTCACTTACTGAGTTTTTTTGTAGACCCTATTTTTTTATTTGGGCTTCAGGTCTTCCCTTAAATATATGCTCCAACACTATTTTAGAATGTATGAGCATGTCCTTGTCCTTTAGTGAGAGAGTGAGTTAGTGGTCTTTCAGCTTGAGTGACTTGTGTGCACAAAAGAAGTCCTCACACTTCGGACTCATTGCCCTTTTATTTAAATATCATTTAACTTGTTTCTAACCCATGAATGTGGCACTTGTTCTCCAACAAGGCTTCAATGACCATGGAATTTTAGCACATTTTAACCTTAAATTTTCATAGATAATAAACAAAAGCCACTAAATCATTTTCAAGGCAACAATTTTTCATTTTCAGCACTGAATTGAGTTCTCAACCAAGCCCTGACTAATCACATTATAAAGTAAGACTCTGTCAGCTTCCCATATCTGCTTTGTTATGTAGTCTGTATTCTTTCTTCAGTAGTACATCTCAAGGAAACTCCAGCAACAGCAAAGGCAATATTAACAAGAGCATAAATTACAACATAATGCTAGCATATGCGAGTTTTATAATCTTTGTTTCGTACCAGATACAGAAGCATGAAGATAGTCAGAATCGCCCTCATCATTAAATGCTGTTGCAGAGGCCACTAAATAAAAAGGAAATTCACATTATCACGAGATAGTACATGAGGAAAAAGAAAGCAAGTAATATGACAGAAAAATGACAGCATTGTAGAAAGTAGCGTATAGATTTTACGTCGTAGCTCGCATTCTACAATGAAACCAAAGAGATTGGCAGCAGCTTTTATCCCTTCAGATGGAAGCAAAGCATTCACATTGATGGTATTTATTGGCTGGAAAGAGCAATAAACATAGTTCAGCGTAATGACCAGAACTAAACAAACTTCAGAATTTTGATTTTATATTGAAGATATGTTATTAGAGTTAGAGGAAACAGGGTAATTGTTTCAAATAATTGAATTTAAATGAATACCGTTAGAATGGCAGTCCAAGTATCCAATAAAACATCACGTGCTTCCCAGCTCCAAGTCTCCTCTTCTGTGTTACTAGTCATGAGGACTTTAATTACTTCAGACATCAACATTGACAAAAAGGTAAGAGTGCCAATGGGCCTGAAGTATCAAAACAAAAGTTTATTCACATTAATTTGTTTCAACTATCATTACAATTAGCACCGAAAAACACCTGCAATAGAAATTAAATTATGATTACACTGACCTCATAGATTTTAGCAAACTGTCAAATGCATAAGGAGTTGTTACATTTGCGATGGCCAATAATGCACGACAACCATCAAGCATCTCACTGAATGAAAACAACATCAATTTGACAGTAAATATACACATTAAAAAAAATGTGCAGGGGTGGGTGGGTGCATTCACATGTGCATTGTGCAGATGAATATCCTCCAAACCTGTCACTTTTCCCATTTTCAATGGCTTTTGAAACGACATCTGGAGGATCTACCCACTCTATTATCCCAGACAGGAGCTGCAGAAGATGCTGCTCGTGCATTTTACCATCATCTAAGTCACGGCACAAACAACGACAAAGAAATTCAAATCAAGGATTTCCACAACTTATATTTTTTAGTGGGTGGGGGTTGCAATGATGATACAGAGAACTGAGTCCCCAAGGCTAAGACTGATCAGGGATCCTTTTAGCAATAAATAGTTATCCATCAAAATCTTGCAGTACAACTGTAAGAGTAACAGTTTGAAACTTTATATGTTGTTGATGCAAGAACTGCAAATGTAGTAGAACAATTCAATATTTTTAAGCAATATCCACTTCTAGAAGCCAAACTCTTAATCACTATAGTCTCATTCCATGCTTTCCAGAAGATATGTCTTAGAAAAGATAAAGTTTGTGCGACAGCCAAATAGTTTAATTAAACACTTGAGCAAGAATGATCGCACTATTAGTGAAAACTACTTAACATCTCTATCAAATCCATCCTTTGAAAAGCCATATATCTCATCATCAAGACAGTTAAAATACTTATCAACCCGAAGATTGTAATTCTAAGAAAATGCACATACAATTAGCATAAAGGAAGACAAGGAAGACTTGTACCAGAAAGAAATACGGTTCCTGTTAAAGAACAAAATTGTACAATTAGCTTTCGAGCAGAAACTGCAATAGGGCAGTCAAGCCAGTATCCTTCACATGAAAATTTCAGCCTCAATGCTGCATATAAACTCAAAAGCCATCCAGCATGACTGCTTGATATTAACACATCACGCCAATCTGAACCAGGCTGCATGTAAGAATCAAAAATAGAATAAAGGCCAATTCATGGGAGATTTATAGTCAATTTCTAGTTATGATGCTAATCATGAGGTTTCTTGTTTAATGTGTGACAGTGATCAATGTGTTATGCTTCATTCTAACAAATGTATGTAAATTGTTAATAAGCAATCAAACCAACTGATTACCTGCACTAGGTGGCATTCAGACCTTTTGGAAGAATCGCCATCTTCTCTAACTCCAGCAGAGAAGACATTTACATTTATTTTTGTGTCACTGGTGTTGCTATGAAAATCCCAATTCAGGATTTGAAGCATAAGATCCAATGCAGCAGTGCAAACTTTAACCTCAGGTACAGCAGAGTCAGATTCAATAATCCTGTTTGTGACCCTTGAAGCGGCTTCTTGTGTCCAACGGTAGAATGTCTATAATATAGGAAATATAAAGAAATAAAAAGGAAAAACTAATATTAATTCAGAAAATAATTCAGTTTTAATGAAAAAACTTCAATTAAGTTGGTATAAGAATACTAAAAGTAAATATTTGAAATTAAAAAGACCTTCAGGTTGTCCAGCTCAAGTGACCTTCTACACTGCTCGTGAAATTCCCTTGGAAGGCCCATAGCACTTGAAGTAGATGGAGAAAATTCTGATACCTATAGATGTTGAATTTAAATTAAAACTACAAAAACACAGGTATACTTAACGGCCAAAGCAATAAGACAAAATGGCTAAAATCTCTTAAATTTTTAAAAATCTCATACCAACGATTCAAGGAATTTGATTCCAGCAAACTGCACATCTATGCCATGATTGCCCAAAATAGCCTGGTTCACCTGCAGTACATTAAACTGTCAGACTTGCATGAAAGGTGAATGTTTGGGAGCAAAATTAAAATCCTGAATAGATATCCTAACAAAATCTTGTGTTACAATTAAGTAGAATACATAGAAAAGATCAAGGATAGAAGAATATTAGGTTCTTAAAATATGGAGAAATATGATTTAGGGTATCCTGGTGAATATATTTATATTCCAGGATAAATTAAACATTGCAATGATTAGTCATTTGAACATATTAACCATCCTTAATGCCTTCTTTGGGGAAGACTTAGCAAGATGTGTAGGAAAGGCAAAAGGTAAGGCAAGATATTCTTCTTCTACTGAGAGAGAGAGAGAGAGAGAGAGATAAGACTATGTCCTAATGCCTTCTTAAATATTTAATTAGAATTTGTTTAAAATAATTTAGTTTCACGCATTAGTAATGAATTTCAACTGTTCCAAATTCCAATCCCATACGAAACACCCAAGCAAATAGTTTTTGTTCAAAGAAAAAACCCAACCTACCCACTCAATTTTACTCCAGTTGTTCAGTCATCAGTGTAATCAATTCTGAGAGATTTGAACAGCACAATGATACATTTCACACATATAATTAGAGTTGTGACAAAACTATTCACTTTGAGTCCAGAAATATGAGCAGAAGGAATATTAAAAAAACAGACATGCAAAAAGAGTGATACTGAGACCAAAGCTAAAAGAAATTAGGAAACTGCAAACAGAAACAAAAATACAAAATATATTGGCACCTGATAAAAAAGAGCCTCCTTCTCCGCAGGCACAAACTCAAGCCTACATATAGAAAATATTTACCAAACCAACTATAAGACCCATGAATCCATAACCACAAAACGTTAACCAATTGCAAGAATATAATAATCTTTTCCTTCTACAGAAAAGACACAAAGCTTGCCATAATATATGCCCAAAACAGAAGGAATTTTTACTACAATGCATTTTCAATTAGAACAAGTCCATTGCAGGAAGCAGCATATACCTCTAAATCAATTACTATTCAAGACTTCATGTATAACTAAGTCAAAGCTTGTTCATAGTTGTAGCAAAGTCAATATGTAAAGAAGATTACAAGACTCAGGTTCTATCCAATATTGTCAAAATCACATCCAATGTGTAGGATCATATGATACAACGCTTCTTTGCCTCCCCAACAAGGCATGCACATAGCAGAAAATGCTCTGAATCGTGTTGGATCTTCATCTAGCATCGCCTGTCTCCACCGAGAATCAGCCATAGCTTCACCTGTAGACTTGGGAATAGACACAGAATCCAAAGAAGAAACAAAAGAAAAGTAGGAAGGAGACAATCGATGACAGGAAAGAGTACAAGCATATAAAGGATGAGGATTGCGGGTAGTGCGAATACCTTTATGAATGGCAATGGGTAACTGAGGCAAAGGATGTTCAAGTGCAGGAGGCATTGCTAGAGAGTCGATTGGAGCAGAAGATGAAGCTGGGGGAGTTGTAGATGAAACCACCTGTGGATGACGTGTCCTACGCTGATAGACAAGTAATGGTGGTGGATCAATGACTACAGCCGGAGCCGGAGTTGGAATAATAGGTTGATCATCCAAAGAAGTATGACTAGTAATATCCTCAGACAAGAAAGGAGAGGATGACTCAAAGAAGGAAACGTCAGCGGAAACAATATAGCGTTGAAGTTGTGGACAAAAACAACGATACCCTTTTTGGAGTCTAGAATATAGTCTATTCTTTTAGATTTTTTTTCTCTTCTTGCAGGGGCATTCACCGGCTGCCCACCACCGCCGGCCGACCACCGCCGCCGTTTGCCGCCGCCGCAGATTTCCGCCACCGCCAATCGTTGCCACTTATATTCGTCTTTCATGGCTGCTTTTACTTCAACTACGACATTTACCAACATTCCTCCGATTCCGTGTGAAAAGTTGACCGGAGCAGCCAATTATACCACTTGGGCAGCTGCGGTTCAGAGTTGGTT